GGGGGTTGGAGTGGGGGTGGGGGGGGGGGGCGGGGGCGGGGGCGGGGGCGGGGGGGGGGGTTGGGGGCCGGCAGGCAAGGCAGGTTTGACAGGAGTAGCAGGAATAAAAGGCCCACTCATCGGACTCTGGGACAAAAACAAACCAAGGGGGGGGGAAAAGTGTGAGAATCCCTAACTAATGAAGAAGTAAACAATGAAACAATGATTATAATATACTTTAATGATCAGGAGGTAGCACATGAATCTTTCACCTTCTGGTACTTAAGTTTCCTTCATGTATAATTTTTAAAAATATGTTTTTATTGATTTTAGAGAGAGAGGGAGAGGGATAGAAACACCAATCGGCTGCCTCCTACATGCCCTATATCCTGGGGAGCATGCCCAAAACCTGGGCATGTGCCCTGACTGGAAATAGATCTGGTGACCTCTTAGTTCATGGGTCTACACTCAACCACTGAGCCACACCAGCCGGGCCCTTCATGTATAATTTGCTAACAGTATTACCTAGCCTTCCCACCTTCATGGTAGAGAAACATGAAATTGATAATCTCTACAGCTTTAAACTCTCAGGTAAACCTGTTGTGCATTTGAGCTATTAGGAGCAAACATGACCTTTAACAAACAAAAACTCCAGCCACTTACTTAGTTCAGAAGTTACCAAGCAACAACACTCTTACTGACCTCGCTGGTTTTGCTCAGTGGATAGAGCATCGCCATGTGGACTGAAGGGTCTCAGGTTCCATTCTGGTCAAGGGCACATGCTCAGCCGGCGGCAGGCGTGGCTCAGTGGTTGAGCATAGTAGACCTATGAACCAAGAGGTCACAGTTCAATTTCCGGTTGGGGCATATGGGTTTTCAGGAGACCTATGAACCAAGAGGTCACAGTTCAATTTCCGGTTGGGGCATATGCCTGGTTTTCAGGCTCAATTGCCCGTGTAGTATGTGCAGGAGGCAGCTGATCAATGATTCTCTCTCATCATTGTTGTTTCTATCTTTCTCTCCCTCTCCCTTCCTCTCTGAAATCAATAAAAAACATATTTAAAAGAAAAAGAAAAGAATCTATTTGCCCACAGTAGAGGCAGCTTGGGATCCAGTGTAGCTCTGAGAGGAAGTGCTGCTCAAAACCATGTGACGGTGGGCATACCCAGTAGAAAGGAAAATCATCTATTTTCCTTGCGCAAAGTGTGCGCAAACCCTTGGAAGTTGGCTTGGCTCTCTGTGTAGGCTTCGGCAGTACTGCTGATACAGCTGTTACTGAGGCAATAGTCTCCATTGTGTGGGTAGCCTCCCAGGGTAATTGACAACAACAGAGGTTAGGAGAGGAAGAAAGGCCACAGAACAGACATCAAAGGCAATTATCGCAAAACCCAGCTTGCTGTGAATGGAGGCAGTGACTCGGAATGTCATTTTAGAAATAAATTCCCTAGACAGATTAGAACATTTAAAAAGTCACCAAAGTAAAAATGAGACCCCAGAGCTTTCTATGAAAAAGATGTTTTGACCAACAGCAGACCAGCATCTGCTTCCTGGGGTTAGGTGTTTCCTGGTTTGCAAACACGCGCCTTCCCAGTACCTCAAAAGCTGTTTGATTACATTTCCAAAGTAGTCACATCTGTTTTCCATTTCACAGTAAGTTCTTACATTCCTTCCTGCCAGCTCGAAGTAGTTATGTAGCATCTACTATGTGCAAAGCATTGCTTCAGGTAATATGAAATTTTGACCACAGAGGTAGACAGGGGAGCACATTAAAGCAAACCAGAGATCCCGCATTAATTATCACCCTGTCAATTAGGTTTGTCAGTATTGGCTCCAGGCCATCAGGAAAAATTCCTCTCCAGTTGGCCATAAAATCTGATAAAGCTGATGTTTTGATGGTCTCAGAGAATTAAGCTGACACCCCGCCCCCCTTTTCTGCTCTTAATATTGGAAAATAGATCCCAAATTCAAATGGTCTCATTTTGTTTTAGTGTATATATATTTCTCAACTTTCTTTTTTTGGTAATACACCTACATATCCCTAAAATTGAGGTTCCTATACCTTATAGTTTTGCAACTCCCATTTTTCATTTAATAATGTACTCCAAAGATCTTTTCATATCAATAAATATCCAGGCTAGCCTTCCTTTCCCCACACACACTCAGGGCACTTTCACTGAAGATTCACTTACAAAGGAATGTTTCACTAAAAAAAATAAAGCCTTGCCCTACCCGGCTTGGCTCAGTGGATAGAGCATAGGCCTGGGGACTGCAGGGTCACGGGTTCGATTCCGGTCAAGGGCATATGCCTGGGTTTTGGGCTCCATCCCCAGTAGGGGGCATGTAGGAGGCAGCTGATCAATGATTCTCATCATTGATGTTTCTATCTCTCTCTCCCTCTCCCTTCCTCTCTGAAATCAATAAAAATATATTTAAAAAAATTAAAGGCTTCCATGGAAAAAGCACAGGCTACCGAGCTGCAAAAAGTTACATTTCCATAAGACAAGGGAGTTGGGGGAGGCAGACGCCACATTTCCATAAGATAAGGGAGCTGGAAGTAGCAAAAGATACATTTACAAAATAAAGGGAAGGAAGCCCCTCATTCAAAGAAGGAGAATTAGGAAAACAATAAGGGAGGAGGGCCTCACATGCCCCACCTGAGGTTTGACCTTTTGAGCTCAGGAGCTGCTATGGTGATCAAATCAAAGGGGAATAGTGGCCAATCAGAGGGGCTATCGAGGCACAAAAACTGCAGCCCTTATAAACCTGGGGAAAAGGAACTCGGTGGGACTCTTTCCCCCTCTCCACGTGGGAATCTGTGCTTGTTCTTCAATGAATTTCCACCTTTGCTATACCATCTTCTGTCCGTGGTTTCATTCTTCGACTCCGACAAAGAGCCCGGGGAAGCCATCCTGCCCAGGGGAACACCGCGTGTTCCAGTCCAAAAGTCCCGTATCATTAATTAGAACAACCTGAAATCTAATATGTTCCTTTTAAGAAGTCATGCTAATCTCCCCCTGACAGAAATTCAAGGAACATTGAACACCTGAAATGAGCAGAATATCACTGGCTGAACTATGGGCAGAAGACAAAATATTAAATATTATAGTTATATACTCCATTATATATTCACTTGCGCCTACTGACTGCTTGCCTTGAAAACATGAATTTCTTCCTTATGCTTGGCTTACAGTCCTTCTCTGAGTACAGATATTGTTGAAACATGGGACTTACAGGCTGCAAGAGGCAGAAGTTGTTGCTTCTTGAGAATGTGTTTCTAGATCTCTCTAAAGGAAAAACAAAGAACGTTATTCTTCTTGTGTTCCTTGCATGGAACAAAGGGAGCTCAGAGTAGCATGCAAAAATCAGAGAGAAAATGAGGCTCAACCATAATAGTAAGAACTCTGATTATTCTGTGTTTGTTGATCATCATTAAAGATATCTGTGCATGACTTCAAAACAAAAAAGAAAAGAGCCCTTCAGAGATAAGAAACTTTCTCTTCGTTTTAACAAATGTTTACTGTTAAATGTGGACATTCTCAAGGTACTTGGGGAAATCCAAGATGATCACGACAGGATCACTGCCATGGGCCCCTACCTTTATAATCGTGTGGAAGATAAATCTGAAAACCAGTCCCAGGATAAATGAAAATGTGAAGTTCTTTGCTAAAATGTTTTTTAAGAATTTCAAGACAGCTCTCACTAGTTTGGCTCAGTGGATAGAGCATTGGCCTGCGAACTGAAGGGTTCTGGGTTCGAGTCCCGTCAAGGGCACATTCCCAGGTTGCAGGCTTGATCCCCAGTGGGGGTGGGGGAGCATGTAGGAGGCAGCCGATCAATAATTCTCTCTCATCATTGATGTTTCTATCTCTTTCTCCCTCTCCCTTCCTCTCGGAAATCCATAAAAATATATTTAAAAAAATAATATCAAGACAGTGACAACAGAGCATTAAATCAATCAAAGGCTCCTTCTAATTTCAGGGCCCCATGTGACTGCACAGGTTGCATACAGATGAAGCTGTCCCTGAAGAAAACAGCAAACCATTAATATAAAATAGAATGAAATAAATGCTAGAGAAATGCATAAGGTGCCGAAGAAATGATAAAGAAAGCAGCCATTAGGCACTCATGCTACAGAGAAGGAGTTAAAGATTGTACACAAAAATGTCAATACCTCCTCCAAGGACAGTTGATGTGGGACAGGGGGGTAGGGAGTTGATGCAAGGGTATTTTCTTGTTTGATCTCTGTACTTCTCTATTGTTTGACTCTTTTACAGTGAGTTTGTATTTATTTATGTATTTGTTATTCAAAAAAATGACTTACCAAAAAACCTCGGCTATAGTCCATTACATATATTTCAGAGAGGAAGGGAGAGGGAGAGAGAGGTAGAAACATAAATGGTGAAAGAGAATCATTGGTAGGCTGCCTCCTGCATGTCCCAGACTGGGGATCGAGCCTGCAACCTGGGCATGTACGCTGACCAGGAATCAAACTGTGACCTCCTGGTTCATAGGTCGACATTCAACCACTGAGCCATGCCAGCCCGGTGGTTTCTTAATGTTTATCTCAGGAGTCAGGAGGAAGATAAATCTTTGGTATTGGTTTTCTATTTCTGCAGTAAGTCAAAACAGAGTGGCTTAAAGCAATAATAAACACTAACTAGCTGAAACAATTTCAGGAATTTGGGAGCATCTTAGCTAGGTGCCTTTGGCTTGGGGGTCTCATGAAGGTGCTGTCAAGATGTCAGCTGGGGCTGCAGTCTCATCTGAAGGCTTAATGTGGCTAAAGGATCCACTTATGAGACAGGCTGGTAAGCCAGGACAAGTGGAATAGGGCAACTGAGACAGATAGCTGAACGAACTGTCTGAGATTTTTACAGCCAGATACAGAGGTCACCTCCCTACAGATAACATCTAAGTCTCAGTTGTATTTCAGCTTCAGGCCCAGAAAAGCAGCAAAACCTGGTGGATGACACCAGGACCATCTGCAATGACTAATGGCCCCCTGCCCTGGTGCTGAACAATCTGTAGAGACCACATCTCTGAAAGAGCACACCTGGAAAACGGATGAGTATTCTGCTGAAACCCTCCTGGAGTCTAGCTGACACACACTTCCCCTCTTAGGGGCCCCCTAACATTTCTATCATTACACTTGCCATTTCATATTGTAACTATGCATCTATGGGTCTGCTTTCCTCACTACAACACTTGCTGGGGTCCAGCCCCAGCAGGTCCAGGGGTCCCCAAAGGTGTGGACGGAGTCGGCGAATAAGGAATGGCGAAGTTCTGGTTAGGATCCAGCCAAGTTCTGGTTAGGATCTCCAGCCA